GCAAGTTAGGCCAGAACTATAAAGATAAACATGGTAGTACCGAGCATTATATCGTCCTTGAAAATAAGATAGATACATCAATAGGCCCTGGTCATATTCCCCGACGGCCCTTGATCGAGATACTTCTCATCATGATTGCGAGGCTAAGGCGGCCGTTTCTCGAAACCCCCGGTGAATTTCGCGCTCGGAGGGCTGTTTTGTGTTTTTTGTTTTTGGATTGAATATCAAATTTTGAATAATTTTGAAAATAATACAATGAAACTCTCCGTTAACGAAGCAAAACTGATTCCCGAATTGCCAGTTTAAGTGTGGCGAACAATAAGTGTCGCGAACATGACGATAGAATTAAGTGACTCATATCGAGTCAATAATCAAGAAAGGACGAGTATATTAATGATGACAAAATCATATTTTCAACTATTCGGGGACAATGACTTGGTCCTTCTGATCCTTCTCATGCTGTGTCCACCGGGTGACACAAAAACCCTGGGAAACTTCAATTCCGGAGGAAGACTAGCCTTTGTTTTGCCATGGTACATTCCTTATAGATCCATATCAAGACAGAATCACAAATGACTCGTGGTCAATTGGATCTATAATTCACGTACAGGCATGAACTTCTTGTGGACAGTGTTAAAACATGTTTGTTTTGTTTGTTTTCTCTCTGAGAAGTTCCCCGCATGATCCTTGGCACCCGTTCTAGGCCGTCCCAGAAGGTTTATTTCCGCTCTAAAAGGTGGACCCAAATCTTCATTAACAGTTTTCAATGTTTTTTTCGCTCGAAGTATACACTCCGCTCCAATTTTCTGACTGTGACTGAATCGACTGTACACACATTTGAGAAACTAGCAGACAGGCACATATAGTAATATTTTTATCACAGAAACACTTTTCTACTCCCCTATCAAAACGCATTCACATGACGTCATGGTGGCCATATTGGTGTTGCAAAACAATGAGACAGCAGCCATGTTGTTGTACCAAGACAACCCTTGTGGGAATTGAACTCTTTTCTTATGTAAAAACTTTCTTTCGTTCGCATAAATTACCATAGATGCTGGCCACGTGGTTGAATACGCTCTGTAGTAGAGAGTGCGCAAAACCGTCTCTCAGAAGGTTTATTTCCCAAGCCCTCATTCGTCAGTGGAGGAAATGCTCCCTATAATGGCCTACAGGACACGGCCCTGCCCGAATTAAGTTCACCTTTTTGAGGCCTTATATGCAAGGATAGGGATTTCACAAGTTGTTATATATCAAAGGGTGAAAAAGTTAAGAAAATGATCATATTTTAAAGACTAGGTCTATGTGAAAGGGTTACCATTTTTTGATAGAAGGTATACAACAGGGGTACCTTTTCTGTCAAAAATTGTATGTAGAGGGGTAGGGGGTTGGACCTTGGGGAGGAGCGTTGCCTTACTAAACTTTGTTGAGTACCTCCTTCCATTTCACACACTCATGGCTAAAACATGCTTACCTCCATCGATCCATCGATGTTATGTTCATCTTCGATAGTGCATGTTCATGGTTGTTCAGCTTCGCAAATATTCTCCAAATAGCAGATGTCGCCCTTCGAGTTGTATTCTTGCAGTTCTTGCCATGTTTCTAGCCATTATTTCGCCTAGTTTTTACTCTTGAAACGAGTGAAATGTCCGCCATATTTGTTTCCACAACCAAAACAACACGACCTCGTCCCAGGTCTTCTCGGTTAACGGTTCATTAACCTGCAAAAACGCTGCATTTTTGACGTCATTTCCTCGCTAAACACAAAATTCTTGCAAATTTAGTGATCAGTAACTGTTTATGGTGAATTATGCGTCTGCTTTTAGGCAATCAAAATCGGGGAAATATTTTGAATGAATAATAATTGGCATTAATTAAATTGTACAAAGTTGCCAATAAAGTGGAGAGTGGGTACACTGGAGTAAAAATGGTTTCCAGGAGAAATAATACATTGCGTACACAAACATTACAATAGACTAATTCTGATTTATTAAAATTCATACTTGGCTGGGAGGCTTAGGGGAGTAAAACAAAAGAAATCATCTTGAGGCTCAGCAATGAATAACACATTTCTTTTGTTTTATTCCCCCAAGCCTCCCAACCAAGTATGAATTTTAATCCATCTAAAATGGTCTATTCAAGTACCAAAGTGGCTTTGTAAATCATGGGGAATAGAAGCGTCTTGAGTCATTTTAAAAAAAGAGTTAAATTGAAGTTTCTTATTTTATTGAATCGATTGCATTAGGTGAGTTCGCAAAGAGTTAATTATCTTTCGTTTTATTTTGGGTTAGTTCATGTGGACATTTTGTCCCATTGATGAATTTAAATCGTGTAGTTCGATTCTATCTACAAAACCAAAGAGCTGTAGAATTTCAAAAACAAAGTTCAGGAAGGATTTGTTTTTTGGCATCTGCCAGTTGAACTGAGAGTTTGAGACACTGTCTCACAATAATATTTTCTGGAAGATTTTCGAGATGGATCAAAAATTTAAGAATCAATAAATATATGTCTAATTTCATAGACAGCCTTCACATTTCGTTTCGAGATGCCACATTTGGGGTCCTTCTGTTTAAACCAAGATAGTTCTTATAAAATTGCGTATAGAGTCTTTCCACGGGATCTTTTTCTTATTTTCCGAGGTCAAGTTTGTCATATGCTCCCCAAACTTCCAAACTATACTAACATAAATATGGGAAGAAAGAGGGTTTCGAAAAGTTTATTACATAAAGATGAGTTGTTTTCAGGTTGAAAAATTTCTGTTTGAACTAACTGAGGTTGTACCTAGATAAGTGTATTCTTCGGCATTTTCATTTCTTTTCCATTTAGAGAGAAGATATGTATTTTTCTCGGGTTGATTTACGATTTTCTTCAAATTCGTTGATAGAGGCCACTTCTCACAATAATTTTGAAGAGTACTTAATTGCTTCTGGAGATCGGCGGCACTTCTAAATATCAGAACTAAGTCATCTGCAATTAAGTGGAGAGCAATTCGGTAGTGTAATTGAGTTCGTGTCTTGAGAGTCTAAAATAGTCGGCAGTACATTTGAATATAGAAGAGGTGCCTTTATTTACAATACATTCATTTGTACAAGCATAACCTATTATATTACTACAAGGCAGGAGATCCAGCAAGCTCTGTAGAGCTTTTAGACGATCTCCGCTTTATAATCTAAGCAGATGTAAAGAATAAGGAAGGCGGACTTCCTGTTTTACGAACTGATATGAACTAAAACTATTACAATTATTTCTTAATCACATACTCTCTGACTTATTTCTTAAACATATTATATTATACATATTATATAGGTTAAACAAGAGAGGGGAAAGGATGCATCCTTGCCTTACCCCTCTATCAAAGGAAAAGAAATTGTTTTTTTATCACCATATCGGATGACACATTTTAATTTTGAGTACACATCTGAGAGAAGGCCAAAAAAGCGCCAACCTATTTTGTTGTGTATGAATTTTGACAGTAAACCATCATACCATACCGAGTCAAACGGTTTTTGGACCAGGAAGTCGACGAAACAACAGAACAGTTTACCTCTGTTTTCATTGTTAACATGTTTATCAATAAGAGTTCTCATCAAAATAAAGATATGATATGTTGTTCGGTATCCGCGTAGAAAACCAATCAGGGAAGAGTGTAAAATATTCTGATCGTGAAAATATACGTTTAATCTTGTATTCAGGATAGAGCAAAATAATTTTCCTCAACAGCTTGTAACACAAATGCCTCTGTAATTTGAAGGGTCTGATCTATTTCCTGATTTGAAAATTGGGGTTATCATGCCGGTTAACCAGCTATCAGGAAAGGTACCTTTGATATAATGAAATTGAAGAGTTTTACCAAAGGAGCACTTAAATGATTAATACAGCTTTTTGACTGACATTTCGTTTCGAATTTTATCAAAACCCGCTGCTTTCTTCTTTTTCAACAATTTAACGGCTTTCCTAAACTCTGATTCAGTAACGGGTTTATCCACTGTATACGAATGTAATAATTAACTGAATCTCAGAGTATTGACCACCATCTGGTTTTGAATGTAGGTTCTGAAAGTTAGTATATAATTTGCCGACTGGAACAGACAAATCTTGCGAATTTGCACTTTTTGTTGATAAGTTCTTGAGTGTTGACCAGAATTTTTGTGGGTTGGATGAATTAACAAGTTCTTCCATAAGGTTCTGAAAGTTAGTATATAATTTGCCGACTGGAACAGACAAATCTTGCGAATTTGCACTTTTTGTTGATAAGTTCTTGAGTGTTGACCAGAATTTTTGTGGGTTGGATGAATTAACAAGTTCTTCCATTTTGTGGTTCTGATGTTTTCGCTTCTTCTGTTTTAACATTCAAGTGTTTGTATTCCTTATTCATACGATGATAATTAAGTCTGGTTATTTCGTTGTGGCTTTATGCTTTTGATTTTGTTTAAGATTTTGTTTGATTAATATCATTTTCTAAGTTTGAACTGCTGTTAAGACCCCTCCAAAGAATCTGCCAGATTTTGCAGTGAGAAATTTTCGTGGGGGGCTTCTCGCTATAATTTCGAAATTTGGAATATGCTCAACTTCATGACCCTAGATGGTCCAGTAAGCGCTTGTCATTTCCTAGACTTGGTGATGTGCCAATGGCGGGAAAGTAAAACGCCGCAGAGAAACTGACATTCATCAACCAAGCTCGCACTAGAATGTCAACCAATAGAAACTGTTTTAAAAAATGCTATTTGAGAGCTCAATTATTATACTGATCAATCAGATCACTCGAAATGTTATCCTAGCCGGGGGTAAATGAATATATCTTTCAGTTTTTTTGTTTGTTTTTTTACTTCCCATCGACCTCTTCTTTTGGAGATGGTAACACTTAGCACTTACGATAAAAACTGAGAAACTCGTACCCGCTTTACACTGCTGTGAATTAACAGTAAGCTCGGACGTCAGGCATTATTATACGTGGATTAATGCAGTACCGATCACAAAGTTCGGCTGGTAATTGCAATTAGTCAGTCGTCGTGGAAATGATTTGTATGAAGAGACGGAGTTGACATAGTTCTTTTTAACGATGTTTGGTGAGAGTCGAGCCGAGCTTGATCAGTGAACAGGACCAAATCACAGGATGCTGATCTTGTTAAGAGAACTTGGTTTTTCATTTTTTGTATCTGTACATGGGTATCTTTGACTGAACCAAGCAAATCCTTTCTTCTGGCGAATCGTACTACATCATATGCAGCTGAAGGCCTCTTTTCCGGTTTTCTGATCTTCAAAATCTCGAGCACGGCGTTCCTAAAACGACAGTCTCTGTAGCAGTAAATGAGTGGGTTAACTACGGAATTTGAATACAGAAGTGTGTCCATTAAACGTATCACCCAATGTTTACGAAGAACTGGATAAACTCCTTCCAATAAACCAATAAGAGCATTTGGGAAGAAGGAAAGAATTAGGGCAACCGTAACTAAGGCAGTGGTCATAGCAACTCTGCGTTCAAGTTTTGCGTTCACTAACTCGCTGACTTGGTGAATTTGACTTAATTTACGTTTGCGAACCCCAAGGTACACCATGACATAAAAATATACGATAAGTCCCAGGGCAGACATTACCGAAACTGAAAGAACGGTGTGGAAAATCTCCGACGCCAAAATCATAGCATTTTCACTCATGATCCCCGTGATCACCAATAAGGGTAGTGGAGATACAGTTACTATTGCTGATACCCAAGCTATTATCGCCAGCTTTTTCAAGCGGCTTCTAGTCACTATAACTTTGTAGTCAATCCATTTTCGAATGGCCACGTACCTTTCCCAAGCAATCATTGTCAGATGGAAAATCGAACAAGCCGTAAGAGTGGTCGTGACCGATATCGCTACAAAGTCCAACTTGCAAATGTAATGGTCGGCCAGTAATTGATAAGAAACTAACAGTCCGACCACAGCAGATAACGGTACACATATACTTCCTACTAGAAGATCTGTAACGGCCATACTTGATAGCAATATATTGGAAGCTCTCTGGAGTTCTTTCCTTCGCTTTACTGCTATGATTATTAGTGCGTTTAAAAGAACCACAGTTGGAGAGATTATAGATGAGACTACGGCAAAAACCCAAGGAGAAGTAGTGTCATGTAAATCCCAAACTAGGTGTGGTGCGTGTGAGCAATAAAACACTGACCTGGTTGAGTTCGAAAGGACGGTCGCCGTTTCTGTTTCGTTTGAGCCCATGATACTGACGATTTTTAAAACTGTTTATAATCCAAAATTTTGTTGCCGAATTATAAAGTTCAGCTTAGACTGGATCTAAAACGAGGAGATGCTTTTCGGTAAAATTGCTCTACTGGGAAAACAATAAGGCTTGGTGCTAAATGAAGCAGTTTTGGGGAATGGTGGAGTATTTTTTTAATACGTGACAATGCGCAGACAATGCGGTCTATAATCTATAGCTATTAAAAACGAAAAACAGGAAACTCCGTATTTGATGAATTGGGTTTTTGTGCTGACTTCTATGTACACTTAAATTCAGCGGAAATTCGATGATGCACTCAGTGTTCTTGAGGGATAATGATAATTATATTATAATTATAATAACAATTTATTTATATCGCTCTTATTCCTTTAGAGTCCACAAGCGCTCCACGTTCTGAATAAAAAAATTGAAAATTGCTTCAAAAAATAAAATATAACTTAAATAAAATCTCAAAATCTTGGGACCAATCTCTAACATGCGTTCATAAAAAGGTCTGTCTTAGTTTTACTCAACAATAAGCCTTTTTGAAAAAAAAGATCTTAATGGATTTCTTAAAACTACCTACAGAATCGCACACTCTTAGCTCCCGTGGAAGGGCATTCCAAATCTGAGGGGCACATATAGAAAATGCCCTGAACCCGTACGATTTTCAATTATAAAATTGTGTATTCAGAAGCTGCATGTTTCCTGATCTAAGGCTACAGCAAGGTCTATCACCAGTAAAGATCTAATAGATCCTGGAGATAAACAGGTGCCATACCATCCACCACTTCTTTTAGATATTATGAATATTATATAAGTAAAGTATGATTTTTTGCATTTTTTTATATTCAAATGGCAATTTTTATTTAGATCTTTGGATTTCTCATTATTTCAAGTTTATGGCTAACATAATAATGATTTGTTCTTAATAAATTTGGGACTGACAAGCCACGCGCACCGACACGTGTATACTATTCTAAGTACACAGGTCCAGATAGTTCGTTCCTGATTATCTTCACTTTGTAGGATATTTTTCCATTGTGAAAGCGCTGGTCTTAACACCGTCTAATACATATCATAGCTTTTTTCCTGCTCTGACTAGTGTTAAGTCGATTATTTTCACGGATTTCTTTTCTTTTCTTTGTTCGTTCAATTTCCCCTTTGTCTATTCTAGTCAACACACGAAAATGTCAGGGTTTTTTGGTAGGGGAGGGGCTAATTTTTTTTTTAATAGAAATCTTAATGAGTTGCATAATAAGTTCAGATAGACGTTATCATGCAGATTTAATTACTAGGAACAAAATTCTCAAACTGGACAAAAACGTGGAATGCTTTCAAAATAGTAAATAATGAGTGTAAGGTACACATACCTCCCTTAGAATTCAAGTAAAATCGACAAAATAGAAAAAAGGAGACATATAGTTTTCAAAACTAAAAGTTAAACCTAATCGCTGTATTATCGGTTCATTAGAGTTCCAAAAGTACGCTAAGTCAAGATTGGGGAAAAAAACTTTGTATCTGAGTGAAATTGAGAAAACGCTGGTATTTTAACTATCTAGAAACATAGAAGTTTCTCGTTCCTAGAACTGGTTCCATAATGATACCTTTTTGCAAGCTGACCTTTTCTAGCTGTTAATTGTACACATTTCAGTTGATAGAAATAGTACAATGTAAATCAGAAAGATCTATTTTAGCCCTAAAAATGGGGCCGTTTCGGTGGGTAAAATACAGTCCTATTTTTGAGTCTAATTTGGCTCCCTTAAATTAGGGCCAATACAGTCCAATTACATAGCGCTGCTTTGGACCAAAGGGCTGAAATGGGCCCAAGCGTGGGCTGGAATAGCCTTTTGATTGGGCTGTTTCAGCGTAAATTGTGCTCAAATGGCTCCAGGAGGAGTTGAATCAGACTTTGGCCCATAGGGCTGAATTGACGTTACTTTGGGGCTGAAACAGATCTTTTTAATTTTCAGCGTATAGTCAATCTTTTATAAAAGTTCATACGGTCGTCAAAATTTGTATCTGATTTCTGAACAGTGTTTCATTTTTCTCCATTCTTATCACTGTTTGTTAAAAAACGGAAAGTGATTTTCATCTAATGTCATCTAAATTTTCCCAATTACGCCGTTTTGTCTTTTTAAACTTCTGTCTTCGTATTCAGTCGGCTTTTAATATCAGCTGTCTGCTCACAGTTATATTGCTTTTTAGTATAAAAGGAGCAACTGTCATTTTCTTCAGGTTTATAATATTTTTAAAAACAGCTCTTATTATACCATTTTGTTTTATCTCCCATTTATGACAAAATTAATTTGAAATCAGAGAAAGTCGCGGTTGAAAGGAACATCGTCGAATAACAAGAAAAATCAGTCAGCGTTCACGTTTATACTCCAGTGGACACCATTTTTAAAGGGTAAGGGGCTTGACTTCGGGGCGGAGGCTCCCCNTGAAAGGAACTAGGCGAAAAAAAAAAGAACATGTGTGTCGGGTCACCTGTGTACGCCGGAGGACACCCTTTTTTAAGGGTAAAGGGGCGTCCCTCGGGGCGCGCCCCCCCCCCCACAAATTTTTTTAGCCCCCCCCCCCCCCCCCCCCCCATCCGGGTGGAAGCACAAGCCTCGTGCCCAACTAAGGCGTTCGAAGAAGGATGATATGAAGAAAAAGTGATACAATGATTTTCAAGCTTCTGAAGAAAGGTGTTATTTGCAGTTCTTTAAAAAGGCTTTTTATTTGGGCGTGGCCCAAATAGAGTAATCGAGATGGCTTGTTTTGATTCTAAGTTGCAATAGGCACACAATACGTGCTAACGAAAACAAAGCAAGTAAACAAACGAAGGGAGGCGAATGTCTGCCACGCGAACGTCTTGTATATAGCCTGTAGTGCAGGCGTTTTCTTCGGGCCGCGAATGTTTTGCTCGCGAAAGCGCCATAATGGTGAAACTCGAAAAGAGAGTAGAAAATGGGGCGAGTCAAAAGGAGAGGAGGAGGGGGTGGGGAGATAGCAGTAATCTACGCAGCTTAAGTGTCTCATCGACAAGACAAAAGGCTTTTACATGTGTAAAATGTGCAGTGCAAGCTCAGGGACTGTGTGGCACATGACGCTGTTGGATTAAATTAAGCGACACAACAAGGTACATTAATACCTCATTGGGGATTGAGCCGGAGATATGACATGAAATATAGAGAGAGGTGGTATGAGCACCAGCAATTGCAGTGATCGAGAATGATAAAGTGAAATTAATGTCAGAGTTCAGAGAATAACACTAGCCTCAAAAGTAAACTTCCAAGTTGTGGTTGTCAGAACATTCATCCACCAATCCACTTTAAAACATCAATGCTAACGCAGTGTAGAATCTACCCTTCTGTGATTTCAGTCAGAGAGATTTACTCGACCCCATCTACACCCAATGGACAGCATAGTATACCAAATGTTACGGACTAAGAAGAACTGTCCTGTTAAAAGAAAAAATGCGTGAATCTTGTCGTATATTGTCGTCCTCGGTACCATTACGGTTAGAAAGACATGTATTGAAAAAACACATGCGTTTCAAAAGGTCTCAGTGTGCGTCATTTCAAACTACGATGATGTTTCGACACAACACTTTGTGCTATTGCAAATTACGGCGTTGTAACTCCTCTGTTTTTAGCTCACAAATCGCATCCACTCAATTGACTTGAACGGCTTCAGAAAGTCATACTTAGCCCGAAAAAAAGTGCACTTTACTCGGACCAAGGATTGCGCTAAAGCATAATGTGGTCTGGCAATTGTGACGTATTTTGCGTTAACTCAATCTGTGTTCTATGTTTCAAAATATATCGCAAACCACGGCGAACTTAGAGTCACATTTTGAGAAAAGTCATTCCGTTTCCTATAAATTACCGTATTTTGCGACAGCGCGAAATGCGGTTCCCAGATCGCGGATTGTTATAGACTTCTCTCCTCAAGCCAGGATTTGAGTTATCGCTAACTGTGGACTTCACTGAAGTTGTCACATTTTGCGTTAACTCAATCTGTGTCCTAACAATCAATCACCGAAAGTCACAGACACCTTTCTAAGAAAACTAGTGATCCTACAACCGTCATAACAAACACGAACTATTTCCTGCGTTCAATCAAGAATACAACACAAACAGCGAACGAAATATTTTCATATATATACTTTTTAAAAATTTTCGCAATAACTTGCTTGAGATCTATGAACACTTGATTTGCATAAATAAACAGAAATGGTCAGTGCCATGTTTTCGTAAGCGTTTTGTTCGAGTTCATAATGATCTGCAAATTGGTTGAGAATGATTATGATCGGTATAGGGACGTAGATGGTGAAAATGATTTGACACAAAGCGATTTACCGTGTCCTCTCCGACAACTCTCAGCTATATTAACTGAATATAAGCTAAAGTGTGGCTGATCGGAACTTCACTGAGAGAATAAATACAGCTTAACGCGCTCATTACATGTCAAAATGAAATTTCCCTATAACGACCCACAACCGGTCTTGTTTTCCGAAGTTCTTATTGTACAATGCCAAAACAGCATTAAATCTACTCTCCTTCGCAGCCGTTAAATAAAAAAATGCGTAAATGATTCGGCTTAAGAGCGGCGCCATGTTTACTTCACTCTAAATCGGTCCTCAACCCGCTAGAATTACAAGTTTTGCTCGAAGACCAAACTGCAACGGAGATTCTTTTCCAGTCCTATGCCGCGACTACAACGATAGATCAGATGACCTGATTGGCTTGCATATCGCATTACGTCAGAGGACATGTTTACAAGAGAGAACAAAATTGCAACGGTACAGACATGAAAATAAAAAGGGAGGAACTGGGAAAAGGAAGGGCGGCTGAGGCTCTCTCTTCCTTCCTTTTTCCTTTTTCCCGCATCGCACTCGTTTTCGCAAACTTTTCACTTTCGCGTCTTTCCGACTCTTTCGCGTTTTCCTCCGCCAAAATCCGTGAGATTAGAACAGGCTATTGACCTGCTGACTGCCGATCCCAGCGTG